ATAGAGAAGTAGGAGGGCAAAGAGAGATATTAGCCGCATATGGTGGAGTAAAACTAGAAGATGTAAGAGGAATGAGAGCCCCTTTCCTTTCTGTCGGAGGCAACAAGATGTTTAAAATGTTATATGATTCTAACTTTACATATGATTCCTCTTTACCTGTATATGAAAACAAACCTCCCAGCTGGCCTTACACGCTCGACTACAAATTGTTCCACGATTGCATGATTCCACCTTGCCCAACGAAATCATACCCAGGTTAGTTAGTAGCAGAGATATAATTTGTATATCTATTAGATTAATTTTGTTGTACCAAATATATACACAAATACAGTATTTACAATTTTCTTATAAAGTAATAATAAAAATAAATAAAATGAAAATCAAAACAAATTAAAAAAGTTTGGTCCCTGTGGCAGTGTACCTTTAACGCTGGCAGCATTCCCTCGCCGTATTGCGAGACTTATTTGTTGAGCCAGGAAAGTGCCAGCTCTGGGGTCACCGGTACTATATCTAATATATAAAGTAGATATTTGTATGTCTAATATATAAAGTTGTCGTGTCTCAATGTTAGTGCCCATACTCCTCCGAAACGGCCGATTCTTATGTTTTTTTTAATGCATATTCAGTAAATCTGAGAATCGGCTACTATCTATCTTTTAAACCCCTAAGTGAAATGGGGTGTCCACCGCAAAAAAATTTTTTTATTAAAAGACAAAAAAAATTGTTTTTATTTTTTTATGGTACAGCATACAAAAATACATCCAACCCTTAATTTTCATCTACTCTCTACCATCAACCCCTATTTTTTATTTGTTAGTTAAGAACTTATAACTTGAACTCTGAGGTTTATATAGAGAAAAATCACAGAAAAACCTAAAAAGTTTTAATTCCGGAAAACCGAACAGTCTCTGGGGTAGCATTGCAAAATATTCCATATACCTACTAAAAAGGTAGGCTAGGCATTAAATAGAAACCGAATTCGCGGGGGCAGCTAGTTAATTATAAAATTCTTAGAGAAGCACTGAGACTTATTAGTGAAATTTGCTCATAAAAATGCAATAGGTCGATACCAAAAGTATTTAAGTGGTCGCGACGAGATTTAGGTAACAAATACGAAATAATAAATTATTTTTTAATAATGATTGACCTCTTAAAGATGGCACAATGAGATTATAATTACATAAACATAATTTTTCAGGTGTTTGGGAAGTTCCTATGGTGATGTGGCAGGACCTGAATGGTGGTAGATGTTCAATGGGAGACGCTTGCGCTAACCCCTCCGAGGCAGAGGGCGTCTACAAAATGATTCTGAAAAACTTTGATCGTCATTACACATCCAACAGGTACACTTTCTATTAATTTGTTTGTAACATATTCTTCAGTATAAAATATATGGAAAAAGAAATGGCCTGACATTTCTAAGTAGGTGATAGAACTTCTCTAAAGAAAAATGAATGAATGACTCGTCTATTGATTCCTTATCCTCCCTTTTTCATTTCTACTGAATATATTATATATTATATTTTTGTAATATGACTTTGATTTATATTTATATTGTAAGATATTTTTCAATTTATTGTGTATGTAACGTAGTAGAATATTAATTTAAAAAGTGCTTTAAATATAAAGTTATGATAAACAATTGTTAAGTTATGCTAACAAACTGAATTAAATTAAATTAGAGGGTTCTAATTAATTAATAAATAACTAACCTTAACATATAATAACTAAAATCTATTATTAAAGTCCCTTTAGGCAAGGTTCCGAAGATACTGGCAGCGTTCCCTCTTTGAATAGGTAGACTAATTCTTTGTCTTTCTTTTTTCTTTTAAATATCTTTTTTTAAGTCTTACAATTAAAAGAAATATACAACATAACCACAACACACGTAGCAACAAAGCAACATACCAAGACTTTTGTCTCTTACTTTTGCTTGTATTCGTATGAAACATATATTATTTATTCCAGAGCACCATTCGGTCTCTTCTATCACGCCGCCTGGTTCACTCAGGCTCACCACAAGGAAGGGTTCATCATGTTCCTGGACTTTATTAACAAAATGAAGGATGTATGGATTGTCACTAATTGGCAAGCTCTCCAGTGGGTCAGAGACCCTACTCCGATATCTAGGCTTAACAGTTTCCAGCCATTCCAATGCAATTACCAAGTAAGAAAGTCTTTCGAGGAGATATTCTCCAGAAATATCAGGGATTATTTTGTCGATTATGTTTTTGCTGCACTAATGTCATATGATGCTAATAATCAGGAGGTTTCTAACATGTAACATTTTAATGAAAACTAGAAAAAAGAGCAGTGTTGGCCTAGTGACTTCAGCATGCGACTCTCATCCCTGAGGTTGTAGGTTCGATCCCTGGCTGTGCCAATGGAATTTCTTTCTATGTGCGCATTTAACATTCGCTCGAACGGTGAAGTAAAACATCATGAGGAAACCGGGTTGCGTTAGACCCGAAAAGTCGACTGCGTGCTTCATGGACTGGAGGAGGCTGATTACTTGCCTATTAGATTAACAAATGATTATGAAACCGATACAGAAATCTGAGGCCCAGACCTAAAAAGATTGTAGCGCCACCGATTTTTTTTTAGAAAAAAAAAATTCTACTCTTCCAACTTTAGATACGCACTTAAAGCGAAATAACATCAAAAATTTTAAACACTAGAAAACAATTAAGTTCGCGTAGAGAAAATAAATTTAATTATCAACTTAAACCGAGTATGAAATGTATTTAGTTATTTAAAACATAGTAGTGGTAAATTGGTAAAAATAAACAATACTGTTTTTTTACATTTTTGAGTTGAAAATTGTTTTTTCTTTAAGTTACTAAAGTTATCATCTCATCACAGGGTCGTCCGAAGAAGTGCAACAACCCGAAGGTCTGTAACCTTTGGCACAAATCCGGGGTACGATACATGAGGACCTGCCAGCCATGTCCCGAGATTTACCCCTGGACGGGAAAAACCGGCATCAGATCTTCGCGTATCGACCACGAAATTGAAGAAAAATAAATTTAAGAACTCGCATGTTATTGATCCGCTAACTTAGCCAACGTGGCAAGGATCAATTAGGCAGAAATTGTTTTATCCAGAGTGCCATGATGGTCACAAAGCAAACAATTTCGTGTGATTCGAATTAGTAGTAAATAAATTGACTATAGGAATTGTATTGGAAACTGTGATATTGTAAGTTTTCAATCATCTAGGATGAGAAATACTTCGAAAACTACCTATTTTAAGTTTGATAGATTAATACTCGGTGCAATGTTTTGCAATATATTTCATAATTATAAAATTTCATTGCTTCATCTTTCAAATCTGATAACTCTGGTACAAAAGCCATATTAAAATTTAGACATTTCTTGCCAGCTTTGTGGTTGACACTGCCTTTGTACATATAGTTATTTTAGCTGTAGTTTTAGTAGGTGTATGATTTTCTAGAATGAATGAATTTAAAGTGGGTTGTGGAGACGTCCGTTTACATCGAATAGATGAAACACATGTCTATACGACTGATTCCAAAATAACTCCGGAAATTATATTTTGAAGCAAACGTCGATTAATAACGCTTGATGCGAAGCTTTTGCTTGCGATATTTATAACGATTAGATAAGTATTGTAAATATAGGGTAATATTTAATATTTGTAGTTCCATTTTGTACAATTATTTTTGTGAATTCCTACCGATGCGATTCCCCGATTTGGCTTATGCGTTGTTTAAGCAAAATGTAATGATTTGTATAAGACAATGTAATTTGAAAATGGCCCAGAATAAAATTATTTAATTTGATATATTTTTATTTTTTTGCCTATTTATATATTGCCCGGGGAACAAAGTTGTAAAAGCAAAATCTATATTATTTAGGTAAAATAAAAGAAGGTAATGCTATTATTACTAGGATACTTCATTACACATATTAAGTGTAAATAGTTAAAAATTCACTAAATGTTGCAGTAATCTAGATTATTTGATTATTTGGTAGAACTACAATTTAAAGTAAAACTATCTTTTTGGTTGTTCCGACCTATTTAAGGGGAGGTAAAATTGGGTAACCGAGTAGGTAATTTCCGTAGAATAAAGACATCCTCGTGTTTTTTATAGTAAAATGTTTTGAAAAAGAAAAAAAATACAGTTATAGTATCACCCAAGGAAGTCAAAAATGAGAAAACATTTAAACAGTCGTAATAGTGCTTTACGACTTTGCAAGCCCCCCTGGGCAAGCGATATATATCCTACATATTATATTGTATATTTATTTTCAAAAAGGTTATTATAGATTTAAGGGTATATACCGCCCATGGACACTCTTAATGCCAGAGGGCTTGCGAGTGCGTTGCCGGCCTTTTAAGAATTGGTACATCCTTATTCTTGAATGACCTTAAGTCGAATTGGTTCGGAAATACTTCAGTGGGCAGCTGGCAAAAACGCCTTAAAAACGCTCAGTTGTGGAACGACGGACGTCGAGGTGGTACACAGGTGGAATTTCGTATTCTGCCTCGACCTCCAATGATGAAACTCAGTTGCAGGTATTAATCCGCCAACTCCTCTGGATTGTAGGACAAGTAAAGTGTTGGCCTAGGGACTTCACTGTGCGACTTTCATCCCTAAGGTTGTAGGTTCCGCTTTGCACCAATGACTTTCTGTCTATGTGCGTATTGTACATTCGCTCGTACGGCGAAGGAAAACATTGTGAGGAGACCGGCATGCATAGAGCCAAGTCGACGGCGTATGGCATAGAAGGCTGATCACCTACTTGCCTATTTGAAAAAACAAATGACAGATACACAAATGTGAGACCTAGACCTAAAAGGTTGGCGCCACTGGGTTTTCAAGGGTAATTCTTGAACTATGTTCATGAAACAATGAGGTAATAAAAAATTCAATTTCAATCATAACATCTGTCTTTTGACATTCTACCTCATTCAAGGTCCAATATTCGATATATAAAAGAGACTTCAATGAAACTAAATACACTGATAGATTCAAAATGAACGTGTTCATTCTATTATATTCAACATGTTTTATATTCTGGCGTGTAAAAGGACAGATTGAATACTATCCATCGATGGGCGAGATAAAAATTCGCGATACACAAAAAGTTGAATTACATACAAGATTTAATGTGAAAAACTCGAAATATGTAAAGAAACGAGGAGCAGATCCAGTATTTCACGGTCACCCAAAAACAAGAGAAGAGCTCTGGCGCGAAAGATTCTTGCCAGAAGATAAACATTTCGATCAAGTGCCGTCCCTTATACGTCTCATCCACAATATTACACTTAAATATTTAACTGATTGTACTCCTGTCCTTCTCTATGATAATCAGATATTTTCTGAAACCAAACTGTTTCAAGAACTCTTAAGATCTTTTCCTGTGACATTTATTCATGGTTACATTGATAATAACAATCGTTTAGAAGCACCCAACATTATTCAAGCTAAGGATGAGTGCCTGCATTTTATTTTATTCCTTACTGATGTTCAGAAATGTCATAAGGTCCTTGGTACACAGTCTAATAGCAAAGTAGTGGTGATCGCGAGATCATCTCAATGGGCTGTACAGGAGTACTTGGGTAATCCATCATCTAGGCTGTTTATTAACTTACTGATAGTGAGTCCCAGTTTTAAGGATGACGATGAAACTTTAGTAAGTATTTAGAAACTCGTGATTTAAAAGATAGTTTACAAAAATCTTTCAGAAGTACAGTCAAAATCTGTTATAACGACATAGAATGGACTACTCATATTTGGTCGTAAAAACCGATAGTCGTAACAGCCGATGACGTTGTTATTAAGTACCTAATACAATAGAATTCAGCCAGGACCTTTGATTTTGGTCAATATCGCGGGTATCTTATTCTAAACGATGTCGTCGTAAAGGGTGTTGACTGTATTTCTAAATTTTAAAGCCGACCATAATTTTAATTAGCATAATAACTAAGAAATTTCTCAGTGAAATGTTTTTGTTAACAGGAAGCGTCATACATCTTGTATACCCATGATTTGTATACTGATGGCTTGGGTTCAAGTAAGTCGCATATACTTACCTCATGGACTCATGGAAAGTTTACGAGAAACATAAATTTATTCCCATTAAAAATGATGAAAGGATACGCTGGTCATAGGTTTTTGATTGCGGCGGCAAATCAGCCGCCCTATACTATTAAAAGGTATAACGTACGACATCTAAGATATTTAAATGTAAATTCGTAAGGGACACGATGAATATGATTTTATAGAAAACGTGTCTAACGATAAATCTAATATATAAAATTCTCGTGTCGCGGTGTTTGTAGTTAAACTCCTCCGAAACGGCTTGACCGATTCTCATGAAATTCATGAAAAATATTTTTATTTTTAGAATTTTTTTTAAGATATAGCATAGAAAAATAAATACATGCCTTACTTTTTAATCTACCCTCTACGATAAACCCCTATTTTTTTATTATAGTAGACAGTTATTTTTATTAAACGAAACAAATGTTTCCTAGAAATAATATTCTATTATTTCAGAATTAGTTTAGGAGATGTATACACTTAGTAAGTAGTTAATAATCGGCTGGAATAGACAGTCCCTAACAAAAAGCCATCATAACGTTATCTAACGACAAAACCCAACATAGTCCTCTCGATATCCGCAATGCTGATATCGCTAACGAGATTTACGTGAAAATACATATTGAAACTGGAATCGCTATTGTTATGTCGTACGTCGTAATCCCAACGGATTCACGGTAAAACAATTATTTAGGTTGGGGAAGACCTATACAAAGTGATATAACCAAATAAATGTGGAGAAATGTGTCTGCTCCATGTTCCATTGAAAGTTATAGGCAAGCAAACCTTTCATGGTATTTATAATAATTAGTTGTAGATAGTGGGTAAAATCCAGGGTAAACGACGTGTTGGTAGCAGGAAGAAATCATGGCTTCGCAACGTTAGAGAATGGACGGGTATTGCAACTGCGGAAGAGTTGCTGCATCTGGCACAGGACAAGACACGCTTCAAGATACTCACGGCCAACCTCTAGTAATGGAGAGGCACTAAAAGAAAAAGAAGTTGTAGATAAATATCAAGAAGTAATAGAAACGTCAGAATAAAGTGATTATCTTATGTAGGTCCCTAATCGATACAGCAAGTGGTGCAATCAAGACGATTTGGGATGGAGTGGAGATACGAATAATGAAACTGTTAGCAGAGAGGAATAATTTTTCTATTGAATTTGTTGAACCACGAGAGCTGAATTTGGGGTAAATAACTATAAAGATTTATTCATTACAAAAAACACAGTACAAGCAATACACAAAATTTACAGTAATTTATAAACAGATTTTTGTACGGATAAAGGCCTCCAGATTTCCAGGTTTTTATTTGTTCTGTCTACATCTTCGGCCAAAACAATTCCATCGGCCCATCTAGTACAAGGCCGGCCTCTCGATCTTGTACCTCGTTACAACTTACATACTTAGGATAAATATGAACTGAAATGTTTTCAAATTACATACTAATTCACAACCTTGATTTTTGGGCTAAATTTGCGTTTTATTCACAAAAATTTTCGTATCATACAAGCAACTTATTTTTTTTAAGAGATCTCATGTTATATTCAGTACTTAGGTGTTGTTAAAAAATGTCTGTACTAACTATAGATATATTTCAATGTTTTATTATTAGACCGGGTGACTCAGTAGCCAATGAAGTGTCTTCAGGACGAGCAGACATAGGTATAGCTGGATTATATACAACAGCAGAAAGGTTTAGAGAATTGGATCTAAGTTTTGGACATTCTCAAGATTGTGCCGCGTTTATTACTTTGGCATCAACTGCGTTGCCTCGGTACGTTAAAAATATTTTGTAGTCTATTTTGTTGGAAGTGCTAGGAGGAAACTGGCTATACGTTTACTTAAAACTCTCCTTCTCTATACCCCAGGCATCCCATTATTCCATTTGTCCCTCCTTCTCCGAAGATCACGTTTTGGTCAAAGCTCACCGATGTCCAGATTGAGCATTCTGATAAACGAGCTAGGTCTGGATGTCCATAGTTGCTCTCCTCACACTATAAAATCGATTTTTGTTTAGTTTTTTGTATATTTTTTTATTAGTAATTTTTTTTTGTAATCTTTGTTTTGATTGATATTTGTATGATCTCTACGTGTATGTCTTGTTTGCCTTTAAGTGCTTGTCACATTAAAAATTGTATTGTGTGTTTGTTTTTACTAATGTATCAGTGTGCCGAGCGTTGGCAAGGTTTTTTACTAAAAAAATATTAAAAAAAAAAGATATCGAAAAGTGACCGCTCATAGTCCTAACTCCTAATATTAAATGACATGAATCAGTACAAAGTGTAGCGAATTTTTAACGACCACGTTTTAATATGGGGCACCTTTGATGAATAGAAATAAGATTTCGATACGAAATTTTTCATTCATCACGACGCTTTGGTATTTTGTATAAAATATTATTTTCCAGATACCGCGCAATTTTGGGACCATTCCATTGGCATGTTTGGGTGGCATTAACCTTTACATATCTGATTGCAATTTTCCCATTTGCGTTCTCTGATAGGCATACATTGAGTCATTTAATCAATAACAGTGGTGAGGTGGAAAATATGTTTTGGTACGTCTTTGGGACTTTTACGAATTGTTTCACATTTGTCGGAAAATACTCCTGGAGTAAAACTGATAAGGTTACAACGAGGCTGTTAATTGGTAAGTGGATGAGAATTTTAAAATGTTAAGTTGCTATTAGTTATGCAGAATGATGAGTTACTATTCAAGTTACTATTTGTTATGCTGAATAACTCAAGACCAGCAAGAAATAGAATTTTGGAGATGTGAATGACTGCTGGGATTGTTTCGCTGTTTTTACAGGAATTCTATTGTAATTAAAATCGCAGCCAACTAGCTTAATTAGCCGTTGAATTAACAGCCTAGCTATTTAAATAAACGGCGCCGTTGAACTAGCGGCCTGAAAGATGTTCAGCCAGTTGATTAAACAGCTAGGCAAATGACTTGGCTCGATGACGTTTCATTACTTGCCTAGCCTGTTGACTGTAAATTTAAATTTAATTCCACTTTCTGCCACTCTCAAACTCGAAACGAACCTCTTCAAACTGTCAATATGGCATCGGCAAACCACAACTTTGATGGTGTTTTCCAAATTTTCATGAAAATGGAATTCAATGAAATTTCAATGGAAGAGTGTAGTGTCACTACACTCTTCCATTGTATTCCATGTACATTGTATAATAATGTAAATTTGACTTAAGAAATTTAGTTTTAAAATAAATATTTTTTATGTATATGACATATTTGACACATATGTTTATCTTTTTTATTTCTGCCAAATAATGACTCTATCGTGCGTGGCCTAAGCCAGTTTATTAAATGTTGTCACAAACGTTAAGGCTGAATATCTTTCAGGCCATTAGTTAAACGGCGCCGTTTAGTTAAAAGGCTAGGCTGTTAATTGAACGGCTAATTAAGCTAGTTGGCTGCGACATGTATATCATAATCATGCGTAATATTCTACAGGTTGGTATTGGCTATTCACTATAATAATAACAAGCTGCTATACCGGTTCAATAATAGCATTTGTAACTTTACCAATATACCCTGAGACGATTGACACTGTAAGTCAACTTTTGAGTGGCTTCTTCCGAGTAGGAACTTTAGGTGAGTTTCATCTTCATTAATTAAATTTACAGCCCTTTTGCCCAAATAACTATGTTGCTATCATTGAAGGATATATGCCATTTTTCACATACACATACAGGTATACATATGTGCACACGTGTTTATTGATTTAATGGTTCTTACCCTCACATTCAGAGTCGAAACTTAGTGCTAAGTGTGACTCCTGCATGTCAACGCGTGATTCGTACCTACTTTGAACGAACGCAGTACTCAGTCGCGATTTAGAATACCCTGAGGGCCAATATTCATAAAAAACATTAAGTCTGACTCCCGTACCTACGTTAAATATATATTGACTTTCGACAAACGGGAGCCATTAAAATCTCTTCTGCATCTCACTCTTCTTTACGAGATTTTCCAACGCAACAAACTTGAGATATTGTATACCAGTTTTACATTCAGTCGTAGGCTACGACTGAATGTAAATGCGGCATAGGTGTACATTTACACTTACGGACGTAAGCTTTCAAATATAGGGTATATAATGAACGACAAGTTCAGGAAATAACTATCCATCACTCTTCCTTTTTAAGTGTTATCAAAGCCGTATAACCTTACACCAGACACACTTTGTGTTTGATTTTGTTATATTCAAATCTAAGTTAAAGTGTTGGCCTAGTGGCTTCAGCGTGCGACTCTCATACCTGCATTTAGGTTCGATCCCCGGCTGTGCACCAATGGACTTTCTTTCTATGTGCGCATTTAAATTGTGAACGTGAATGAAAACTGTGAGGAATCCGACTTCTTAGATGGGAATTTAAAAATGATCATTAAACAAATTCAGAAATCTGAGGCCAAGACCTAAAAAGGTTGTAGCGCCACTGATTATTTATTTTATTAAGTTAAAACGAGAGTTATCGTGTAGGTACCATACGTTATCATCTCACTAAATCTCTAGCTTTATACGTTACATTTTACAAATTTTGTCTTCAGAAAGCGGAGGTTGGGAAAGATGGTTTTTAAACTCATCAGATAAAGCTACGAGGAAATTGTTGAAAAATTTAGAATTTGTACCCGATATTGAAACTGGAATAAGAAATGTGACGAAAGCGTTTTTCTGGCCGTATGCGTTTCTTGGATCGAAGGCAGAGCTGGAATATCTTGTACAATCGAATTTTTCGATATCTGAGTAAGCTTATCAATATGTAATCAATTATAGGTATTGTAGGTGTACGAGCAAAGGCTGTATATTTTGCTCAATCAGATTTTGTTTATAACTAAAACGTGGGAGTTACCTCACGATAGTATTCGGGGACGCTGGCATATTCTTAAGCATTATAAACATAGATATAATATTTTTTACTAACGAAACACACACACAGAAACACAAAAATAATAATAATAATCAAAAAAAAAAGAAAAAAAATGTTTTTAAGGAACAAGGTACATTTTAAGTGTGTAATGTGTGTGTGTGTTGTGGTTGTAACTGGCCCTGGCTCATCATTATGCTGTTTAACATACATTATTATAAACAAAGCATTCATTTAGTATTAAATTTACGTTTTATTATTATTTTAGTAAATAAATAATTTATTTATTTAGTAAAGTTCACCTCATCATACTTATGAATATTTAAATAATATAGTAATTAAATAATTAATAACAAAAAAACAATGACTAACCTTACAACTAAAATATATTATTAAAAGGAGTCCCTTTTGGCAAGGTTCAGAAGGTGCTGAATTTAATTTTAGTAAATTAATGATGTTTCACAGATCTAAACGCGCAGTCCTACATATATCAAACGAATGCTTTGTGCCATTCACGGTGGCTTATAGTTTTCCTAACAATTCTGCTCACACTGCAAAGTTGAGCAAGGACCTAAGTACTATGTTTCAAAGTGGGATAGTTGAAAAAATAACACACGACGTGATGTGGGAAATACAGAAGAAAGGCGGGGGAAAACTATTGACGGTATGTAATACAAAGCAAATTGAACTAAAATATATATGGACTTGAAAGTCACAGGAATGAGTATAATATTCGTATAAAAAAAAAAAAACACATGAGTTAAGCGTCATTATTATTAATTTGAGCAGTGTTGGTCTCAGCGTGCGTCTATCATCCCTGAGTTCGTAGGCTGATCCCCTGCTGTGCAAAAATGGACTTTCTGTCTATGTGCGCATTTAACGGTGAAGGAAAACATGTGAAGAAACCGGGCTTGCCGTAACTAACCCAAAAAGTCGTGTGTCAGGCCCGGGAGGCCGATCACCTACTTGCCTATTACATTGACAAATGATCATGAAACAGATACAGAAATCTGAGGCCCACACCTAAAAAGGTTGTAAAGGTACTACTGAACCCTATGGTAACAGCTACTCATAGCGGTAATAAAAACTATAACAATACGTTTAGTAAATCCTCCTGAGCCTCAGAATGTTTTCCTTTACTATAAGGAAAAATGTTCGTTGCTCACATTAGGCATATCTAATATTTATATTAACCTATTTCAGACTAGATCATCTACCCTCTCATCCAATTCGATAGAAGAAAAGGGTTTGACGTTGGAAGATACGCAAGGAATGTTTCTGTTACTAGGCGCCGGGTTCTTATTAGCTACAATTGCACTTTTATCGGAGTGGATGGGTGGATTCTCGCGTCGGTGCCGACAGTTGAAAAGAAGATTGTCTACTAGTGTAGTCTTATCAGAAACTTCCCGTAACGATAGCAGACTACACTTTAACGTAAGATCGACCAGTGTTGAATCGAAAGAGACTCTTGATGGACAGATTATTCATGTTAGCCAAGAATCTATAACAATACATAATAATTACGATGGATATGATTCTAGAAGGTCAAGCTCTTTGGATTTGGATAAAGAAGTTGAAAGAATATTCAGAAGAGACGAAATGAGGAGGCTTCAATCGAAATCTATAGAAGAGAGATTTAATACAGCTTCAAAGGTGTTCGGTGATCAAGTATTTGAATAATATAGCGCATATTGATAAAAGTAAGAATAGTTTATTTCACGGAGTGTTCTCAGCAGTTTTTGTTTATTTGAAATAAATTATAAGAAATGTTTAATATTATATAGGTATTCATATATGTATTACCATCTTGATAACGGGTTTTCTCATAAATTATGTTTTTAAGTTCGAAAATTCTTCTGATCTTTCAATGCATACGTTAAACATAATTGAGTCTATTTTTGGCGTTTCGTTCCGTTTTACATAGGTCTTTTGGACAAAAGCAAAGCAGAGATGCCCTAGTGGCTTGAGTGGGTGACTCTTATCCCTGCGATCGTAGACAACGTACACAGGCACGGCACGACCGGTTCGAACTGTGAAACAATTGACTTTTCTTTCTCTCATTTATCATCTGTCTTTTATCTTTGCTGTCTCTGTGCGTATTGCTCGTACAGGGAAAACATAGTGAGGATAGACCCAAAAAGAGGGAGCGTGTCAGGTGCAGAAAGCTATCAGTTTAGATCTGTGATCGGCCAAGCAGCGTGACCAACCAACTTGTATCTCAATTTGTAAGGATATATTATTTTAGTAAACTTTTTCTCTCGTTCAATCTAAAATACACATGTTTTGCTTTATAAGTAGTTTTGTTGTGTATGAACACATGAATTTTATTTAAGTAATTTTATTAAATACTTGTGGAAATATGTCATTACATAACTTTGTCGAGACTGTACGTATTATAATTCTCGTATATATATCATTGTTTTAATTATATATAATGTCGTGTACCATAATAAATGAAACCAATGCGGGTTGAAATTATTGTGATTAGCACTCCCAAAAAAACGGAGATTTTGAGATTTCTAACTTTAAAATCTTTACTTCTTTTTTAAGTTATTTTATCATAGCAATAATATCTCAAATTTGGTATTACGTGGTCTAAAAAATTCAATTTGAAGAACGATTCCCGTTTTGGAAAGTGTAAATAAAAGTACTAAGATATACTATAAGATAAAATAAACAACAAAAGTGACATCCAACTCTTTATTATCCTTCGAACAGTCATCAAAATAATTTATAACAATTTTCTAACACTGTCCATTAACATTAGTTCATTCAGCCACTGAGATGTTTGAATCATTTACACAAATTGCAGAAATGCCTCATGGCCCGGCCTCAACTTATAAAATAATTATAATTATGACTTAACTCACCTCCGAAATACCGAAGGCGCTATCAATAAAAATATCGATAAAATACAACTGATTTGCATTCTTTGTAAATTCAAACGAAAATAAAACTAAAACCTACCTAAGCAATTGTTACATGTATTGCACAGCTGACGTTACAATTGAAGGTGAAATCGACTGAGTATTCATAAAGGATATGTATAGTCCTACTATCTATTTGGGTTGTTCGAGTGGCTGTGGGGCAGGGGCGAGGGACAGTCACATCTAATGCACGGAGCCCGATGACCACATATTTACTTATGACTAATGTTTCATAAATGCAATGATCCCGCACTAAGGGAGTCGCCTCTGCCTCACAGAATGGGGCAAACATACAACGGCACATCTAAAACAAACCAAGCTTTACAAAACACACAACAAAGTTGTGCGTGAAATGATTATTATATACTTATAGTGAATTCATTCCCGATGCAAACCTCACAACCTCGGAAATAATGCTCCCAATACCAGCTTACTGTTTTAGTCGATATAATTAAAGTGCAATCGACAAGTCTATGTAGTTTTACATATAAATATGGTTATAATACTTATGTCCTATTCGGAAATCCGACACTGATTAAATAAGTTTCGTGCACTTCCTTAAAGGTATCGGCTGCGAGAGGGTTTATAGAGAACGCTCAAGACATCACAACAATTTTAAACTATTTAACGATACAAGGATTAGCCAAACGATTTGAGCAAATCTCAAAGAATGCACGGGAAAAGGAACTTAGGGGCCGAATAGACCGGAAACATCGATACGACAGTGCAGTACTAACAATTTTTTACAAGAATATCTCCCTTCGGGAAAACGTTTATGGTATTAAAATATTCTAAACGTGTATATTATAATACAATGCGAAAATACATTCTCGATCCTTCAGACTTTTGAACTTCAAACTGTTTACTTCCCTGTACACAATATTCAACAAATATACAAAATTTTGTTATTGTGACTTGAAGGATTACTCTAAATAAGTATTAAAATAGTGATTTTTACATACAACAACAATCGTATAATTTTGTATTTACATTGTACTTATGTTTATAATATGTGAATAGTTTATGTATTGAAAATAAATATAAAACCCAAGACAAGCGACAGCATATAAGCGAACATAAATTAGCGTAAAATAATCGAAGTATGCACCATTGGGGAAACGCTAGTTCTTGGGTTTATATAAGGGGGTCATTCAAGTATTACGGCAACAGAAATTATTTACACATTACGAACACATTGTCTATGCTTGAATCGAAATGCATTTTCGAGGATTCCGACAACAAATTAATACGTTTATGTACTATTATTTTTAAAAGCTTTGCTTTTGCTGACAAGAGGAGAGGAGGGGGGGGGATAAATTGCAGTAAATCTGCTTACGTAATACTTGAACGGCCCCAAGGAGTGAATGTTAGCTACGATATACAATAGAACCTTTTATGGGTACACTTAGGCACTGTGAGTAAGGCATCTACAGTGAAGGTAATAGTGGTCCAAAGCACAGATATCATAGCATTTAAAAAACTAAAAATATATTTTATTAATCTGGTTACACATCTAAAAATAGGAGTGTGATTTGTAGTGCAATATTAAAATACATCATTTGATAAATATATTTTTGTGTTTTAGCCTATTATAATTTGTGTTTGCAATGCTTCAGATCACATTAACAAAACAACCAGTAACCGATCGCTACGCTAACCGTACTTCTCAAGTACCAGATAAGTAGGTGATAAATTGACTTTAATATTTGGTCGTCACAAGAAACTTCGAAGGTGTCATTGACCTTGAATCAATACCGAATTGTAGAAATCTAATTTAGTGTATATACCTCGTTATACCAAGACTGCTTAAAGTGCGAGTGTATCATAAGATTTTTAAAGCTTCGTGTGGTACATTTTATACTGGTCTAGCTAACATTACCTACTAAATACATAACATTCGTACCTAACGGGACGTGTATACATATATGATTCTTGTGTATAAATACGATATATATATATTCTGTGATGATGCTACACTTACAAAGATCAAAGTTCGGATGTCACACTATGATATTAAATGGCACAAAAAACTATAAAACACTAACACAAAGTCAATTCTGTCTCAACTTGCACTATAGTGTCTCTTCACCTCCGTACAGTTCACTCACTTGACTCAAATTGACTAACATTTAAGCTAAATAGACAATGGCACGGATCGCACATATAACATCTATATACACGGGAAATTAGAATGCTATCTACGGGTCCAACGAAGATCGTCTAAGTGTAACATGAATTACGTATAAAGGGTCTAACCTGCCCTCGAAAGAGCGTGTCCGGGGACGGGGTGAAGTGCGACAGGAGGCCTGGGGCCTTCCGTGGCCTAGGAGCCTAACCGGGGCCTAGCAGTGCGGGTGGAGGGGCCTCGAGTAGGGCCCGTAGGCCTCGGGGCCTAGCTATGTGGCCCAACCCTCGATGCGCGGCCTCTTCGTGTGTGGCTGCTCGTAGTCCAGCGGCACGGCGCTGTGCCGCATGTCTTGGCCTGCAGGCGAACCCAGGTTACTTGAACTTATTGAACCTGATGATTATCCATCAATACATTTTATTTATACATTACTTAAGATTACTGGGTTTAAAAATCAACGTTTGTTTCGATATACATTTTTTCTCTGACCATCCAGCTCAATTTTTTTTTCATATTTTTTAAAAGCCGGCAACGCACTTGCGAGCCTTCTGGCAAAGTGAGTGTTCATGGACGGAGGTATCACTTAACACCAGATGAGCCTTCTGCTCGTTTGGCTGATATGTATTACATAAAAAAAAGACCAAATTAATCGGATTTAAAAAAGAAGCAATTGACAAAGGAATATCGACTATAGACTCCCGAATGTCAAATTGCATGTTCCTCCAAATATCAGTTGCATATCAAGTAACACAACATTTATCACAACTAACCATCAATAACGCCAGAAATATGTGCGGGCTGCGGTGCGGGTTGACCTCTATGTAGATGGTCAGGCGCACGTGGCGGCGACACTGGCTCGGCTTTTATCTTCACGTTGCTAGGCGACGCGGCCGGTGGGGGCGTCCCGCCACCTAACACTGGCAAGCTGCTACTGTAAAGAAAAGAAAACAATATGTTATTATTTTAATTCTGGACAAATATCTGATATATAGATGTTAAAGTCAAAGTCAAAGTCAAAGTCAAAATCATTTATTCATGGAGGTAACACAATGTACACTTATGAACGTCCAAAAAGAAATATACATTAAACGCTTCTAATTTTACATTTACTGCCAGTTCTCAAATCATGGGCGTAGGACGGAAGAAAAGAACTGGCAATAAACTCTCCGGCACTCTTTTATCTCTATTAGTGTTGATTTCGACTACAGTTTTCGGTCTTGCACCCGTACTTGTGATACAGCATTCGTGTCAAATATCGTGGTATGAGAGATATAAAATAGAAAAAAAATTGCGCACACGCACATACGGCAAGTCGAAATAGAAATAGGCCACCGTAGAATTTATCCTGTCGTGGGTCGATCTTAAATCTAATCACTTCATGATGTAGATGTTACCGTTCGATGATCATGAGGATATATCAGTTTAATTTAACCAAAATATAGTTAAGGACCAAATTTATAAACTTCAAATGACATTTTTATATACGAAACAAAGAACGATCTACTACATTTACCAGTAAAACAATGATATGATTTGTTTGGTCTTAGGAATTACTTTAAATTTTATACAGTTATTTGCAAATATTTTTAATTTTTATATATACAATAACATGTTATCAATCAAGCTCTATCAGAATTTAAAACGTACGAAGAATTTCTGCTTCAAATTCATGATTTCCTTTTTTTTCTTTATTAGAACAGGAGGCAAACGGGCAGGAGGCTCACCTTATGTTATGTTAAGTGATACCGCCGTTCGGATCAAGAATTGAATAGGAAGGAATGCCAGAGGGCTCGCTAGTGCGTTGGCGACCTTTTAAGAATTGGTACGCTCTCTTCTTGAAGGACCCTAAGTCGAGGTTGGTTGAGCAGCTGGTTCCACATAGATGTGCGCGGCAAAAACTGCCTTGAAAAACGCTCAGTTGCGGAACAATGTACGTCGAGGTTCACAGGTTTATCAAAAACAACGGACTTTGTTGCGATAATCAATCGAGTGACTTAACCGAAACGCATATTAAAACGCAATTTCGTGGTTACTCGCGCGCAATCAACCGTAAATAATAGTGAAAGGTACTGTAACTCGTTCCTGCATTTTGTACTCGACTGTACAAGCTCCGATAGCCGTGATCGTCTAGTGGTTAGGACCCTACGTTGTGGCCGTAGTAACCCAGGTTCGAATCCTGGTCACGGCAGCGAAAGCTGTCTCGGCGGAGATATTTTTTAATATTTCGATTGTACCTTAAAGACTGAATAGCAAAATGTGATTATTAACTAGAAATAACGTATTACAGTAGTAAGTTATACTAAAATATATTTAATTTGGAATAAATTCTTAGGTCTATTTAAAAAAAACAATATTAAAGTAGACTGTAGACCGATACAGACCGTTAATTATATGTTAATATATTTTTTCCTATGAACAATAATGACATGGTTTTAAAAATGATTTGAATTTTAAACAATCCTTTATTAACCTTGAATTGTAGAAAAAAACTGATTAAGTAGTTAATTATCTTTTTTGAAACGTGTTCTGTTTTTAGGTTGCGACAAGTCAACCGTGAAATGAAACGTCATTTTGTACAGTAGTATGGCTACTTTCATTAACTTTTGTATCTGCTCCGGTAGCCGTGATCGTCTAGTGGTTAGGACCCTACGTTGTGGCCGTAGTAACCCAGGTTCGAATCCTGGTCACGGCAGCGAAAGCTGTCTCGGCGGAGCATTGTTTTTTACATTTTTCTTTTAAAAATGCCACACACTAAAACCCATTCTGATAAGTTAGTGGTCATAAATGTATACTTCCATTCTGATAAGTATGAAAGGCATGGTCATAAATGTTATATAAAACTATTCAGTATGTTTTCGTAAATTACATGTTGAGCATACTATGTCTCTGGGGCCCGAAATTTGGCATGGATAGTTAAAACCCCTTATAAACCTCCACCAATTTAAGTTTGATATAAAACCTTTTTCAGTAGAAAACGCAAATAAAAAAAAATCAAATTGGGCACAGACATGTACCTGTTGTGCTGTAGTGTATGCAGTTGGTGCGCGCCCCACGATAGTCCAATCCCCATGTCTGAGCTCATGCTGAAGTCTTGTGGTCCGAAATTTCCAAGTCCTGGGTAGCTTAGCGGTGTCTGAAAATTTTATAATATACCATTTACTAAGGTAATTCGCATACTTCGAAATAAATAAACAGAAGGACAACATTGTAATTATGTAATTTCCCTCAATGCAAATTCTGTAATTAATTTAAAATTAAAACATATTTGACTTATATTCCCGTGTAAATTTACATCATTTAAATTTGAAAAGATCGAGAATGAAAATTGAAATGTGCAAATTTTTTTTAAATAGAAATAAATCGAACCTTCCTAATTTTAAACAATTATTACAAGAGGAAAGCAAACTCACGACCTTTGTGTTATACATGTGTACATAATATTTTAAAAGTTTTTATTAGGCTTTAAGGTAAATTAGATCAGTACTATTTTTATAATATTATTCGCCATCAATTGTAGTACAAAAAATAGATATATTTGTTCTTTACACATGGTAATCACGAGTGGTATTTTATATGTTTAGAATATATAAAACACTAAAACCTTGTCAGATTAATTTTCTTTATTATTCTTTGATAAGGATTATGTGACTATTAATGTACACATTTTTTGTTTTAAAACATTTTAAATAATTAGTGTTAATTGTTAATAATCTCGCAAACATCACGTCAGTTATTATTTTATCAAAATTATTTTAGCTGTGTACTCATGTTTGAGCGTACAATGGCCCGTCAAATATTTGCACTTAGTTTTGCGTACAATGGACTCTGTATAATCTTTCGAATATTTCTCAAAGGCGTGTACATTTGCGTTTAATACATAGTCAAAGCCACAGGAAAGTAGTTATTTTAAGAAATTTCAGTTCACCTATATTTTGTTACAAGTTACTTCCCTGTATGGTATTGTAACATGGCATATAAAATTTCCCAATAGCGTTTTGTGTACTCAAGAGTTTTGGAAAATACCACAATTTTAGTCAGTAATGTTGTGTTAAATGTTGAAGCAGTTCTTACCTCTCCGGTATACGAGATATCATCTTGTGGCGGTGGCATAGAGCTGGGTATGACGACGCGAAGGTTGTTATGCCGTGGTGAGTGGTGGGGCGGGGGAGCATGCTTGTGGGGATGACGGTGGGGCGAGGGAGCCGGTCCCGGGGATGGGGAAGGCGTACAACCGGCGCCCAAAGGCGAGCCGGAACCTGGGTATCCGTTTGACATTTCGAGCATTCCACCGCTTGGGTACACTGAAACAGTGAAAATACGGTATTAATTCTATAAGAAAAATGAAAACAAATTTCTTTTCTTTCCAAACAATGTGAAATGACGCACTGCGCGGTTCACTATACTCTGATTTTTAATTCCGTGGAATTCTGACAGCTATCATTTTTTGACATGTCAGAGATGGCAAACCTTTTTGGCCGGGCACATTTTTCAATTTCAATATGAGTCTGAACATCTGAGTCTATACACACATTTTATTTGTAAGTGAATGTATCCATTTTATTAAGCCCGGTGCTCCACATTAAAAGTGGTTTAACGGGTTTAATTTAGATTCACCTTTTTGTAGGTAAGACATAAAAAAATACGTAGCATTTTTTTCATTGCCCTCAAATGAGTCAAATTTGTCCCTTTTTCGGATAACTTTTTTAGTAGCAACACTTGTGAAATGTCAGAATTGTACGGAATGAAAAATCAGATTACTTATAGATATTTTTTTCTTTTATCTTAATCGGTATTTTAAGATAAAAAAACAAAACATTACACAGGTATTGAAGTATCTGAATTAATAATGCATTAAAAAGGCAATTTTTGTTGCCACACTGTAGAAGAAAAACATCAGTTATGTATATGCAACGAAAGCAAAAGTTTATGCATCGAAGTTCGGAGTGCTCAGATTTAGAACTTATAGGCTAATAAGGTAATAAATCTACCTGAATCGGTTTCCGAAGACGAAGGCCGTGGACTGATAGAGGTGTGCATCTGAGGACTAGCTTGTAACAGTGATTGGTCGTAACTTCCCACTGGAACGCTGACAGGAAGATTATAATTGCTCCCTGCCACTCCAACTCCCACGCTCCTCCCATTCAACTGGTTCCTTTGCATCATCATTTGGAATTCTTCATCGATTTTCGAGTACTTCGCTTCAGTGCGGGGAGTCAGGTTGTATTCCGGTTCCGCTTCAGGGCTGTCTGGTGACATCACTCCGTTCTTATGCTCTTTCTTCGTTAGCGCCTGAAAGTGTCAGCGAAACCAGCTCAGGTGGCTTGACAAGCCAAGTACTTAGAACAGTGTTTTGTAGTTTACATGCGTACACCCTCAATTAGTTTAGCCACATTGGGTAAAGCTTTAGTGAAGAGATTTCTCGAGTAAAAGGTTTATTGTAATCAATAGTTTAAATTAATGAAAATACAGTTTAAACTCTTTATATAACGAATTTCAAGGGACCGAGCATTTTTATTCGTTATAGAGAAGAAGTTTCGTTATAGGGATTGAAGAATGAATGTATGGGTATTGGATTAAACCAAATAAATTTAACTTATTTTTTACGTTATAAAGAGGTTATACTGTAATTTAAACGCGTTGTTGTATACGAATCAACTAAGTTACTACTGCTAGGGTCAAATTCTATTGGCCAATTGCGTATGTTCATTAAGAATGATAAAAGGAAGTGACCCAAGGTGGCTGTTGAGTTTAGTATTGGAGGGTAAAACAAAACATCAAAACTACACAGCGGTATTCTAGTACGTGGTAACTTTATAGCGTACATATGTGTGTAGTGTCAAATGCAATGATACAACACTGACTTCACCCTTCGGATCACCAGGGCCGGTTAATTCAAATAAACAAAACCCATGCTGGTAAAACATAAACAATTGGGGTATTAGTAGCGTCTGGTGTTCCGAACTAACAGGAACTAACATGCCGTCGTGTTTATCTACTGTGGTATTTAAATTTCGAATTAGTTTACGTTTAGTACAGTTGCATGTGAGTATAAGCTGTTAATGGTATAAGTCAATATTGCATAGACACTGCATTGATCACGGGCACACAAATGACGCCGTACTTATTGTACCTCGATGATGTTCCGGTTGGTTAGCGACTCGTGCGGCTCGTTGTACTCGGTGTACTTCAGTAATACCTGGAATTACAATTGAATTTATAAATTGGGATTAGAAGCCATTCATATCGTATTATGCTAGTTAGATCTTTTGTGCAGTTTTAGGTACAATTATAAGGTTTTGGTTTATGGGCCTAATGCTTCATTCACTTCATTCACTTGCTTTAATTTTACTTTTAACTTGTAACCCTTCTCTAGTACGCCCGGGATTTGCTACAGGTATCTACGCTAGGGCCTGATTTTGGATTCATATTTTAAAGTTATTTTGTATAAAAAATTCCGAAATTTAACTCAAAACATTCCATTGTTTGTTTAGCCGAATTTAGTAGAAATTTGTTGCCTATTAGAAAATGAATTACTCCATATAAGCTTCGAGTAGTCTAATAAATGCTTGCGGACATAATGCGGCCACTTTATCCTTAAAAACTTGTAACAGCACTTTTTCGTACATTTCAAAATTATTGTTAAGATAAGGTAATGTTTCTAAAGAAAATAATATAAAACCGGAAACATTAAAAGCCCAAGGCAGACCAATTTAAAAAATACATAGTTAATTAAAAGTTTAACTCATAAACAGTGCGAGGATAAAAAATCGATTTTAATAAGGTTAAGTACACATAAAAACATATATTTATTTAAATAAATAAATAAATATATTTATTTAAATAAATAAATAAATATATGATAATGCTATTTAATTATGTTGCACAAAGCAGGGTGTTAAATAATAATTTGTAACGTCAACTTTAATATGCTTGTCATGAGAACGCTTTGTGTGACATTCAATTTGGAATGTTAAGTGGTTTAAGGTATCAATATAAATTAATTTTATAATTTATTAAGTTCGGTGACATTATTTGGAAAATGAAAATCTGTGCAAGACTTTTAATGTTTAAAGAACTTTATTTCTCATTACAAAAATTATTTTTTTATTTACATGAGAAATTTAATATTAAGTATATATACGAACGAGATACACGTCGCCATCACTAGCCCAATTCTAGTCTAATGGGCCCATTCTGATGTGTGTCTTTAATGCCCTTTTGAACTGATCAATCACGCTAATGTTACGAAGCTTAGACGGCAACCGATTAAACAATTGCACACCCTCATACCTAATAGATCTCTTTAAATAATTTTATCGGAACAAACGCTTTTAAGTATTTATTGTTAACGTTAGATTAATCTGTTTTTACACTTGATTTATTGCTTTAAAATATAAATATTTATTATTAAAATGTTAACTAAACTCCTCTTAATAAAAATGTTTTTTTAATTGAAAGGTATCTTATAAAATGTATAAGCAAGTAAAATTGATTAACGCTTTTAAGTATTTATTGTTGACTTTACATTAAAATGTAGTGCTTGTTTTTACACATTTAATTTGATTTATTGCTTAAAAATATCAACATTTATTTTTAAATTAAGTGAACTACTTAGTAATAATGTATGTTACAGGCATGTTTGTATGCAAGTAAAAGTAATGAACGTGAGAAATTATCGTCGAAGAAACGTACCAATAAAATACTTATTTAATGAGTTCATAGAAATTAATCATATATATAGCCCAATAGCTATACTATAGCCAAAATCTGTCGTTTATACTAATAATACGAACAGAGTTGGACTTAGAGTACTTCCTTGTGGCACATAAACCTAGTTTGAAGGCTATTATTGAATGACTGAACGTATTAATTTTGTTTTTTACATTTTTTTATTTAAGACAAAATGACACAAGAGTACTTCACATTACACATCTACTTAATAAATACTGTTAAAATTAATTTACTTAGTATTTATGAGTAAGGGTAAAACTTATAATTATAAACATATTTCCTCGACGATAACGGCTAAACATATTACCCATAGTAATTTTACAAACTTTATTTTTTTTAATAAAATTAAAATTCAAATTAAAGAAACTTTAATTTTTCGTTGTTTGCCAAATGGGAGAAACCCGAAACAGATTAAATATAGGAAAACCTCACTGCATGGGATTAACGTTTATATTTATGAACAATTTAATCATAACTGCATTATTAACAATATATATTAATGCAAAAATATTTTGAATTTTGCGCAAAAGCCGCATCATTAGTAGCAAATAGGTATTGTCTTTAAATCCATTTATATTTAAAATAATTTTATACCCTAATTATAAATTTTGACTATAAGAGCAAACCGGTAATTCTGTACCAAAAAAACCTCGGATCACACGATAACTATTTAATGCATTGTAAAAAAGTATGTCTCCAACTCTGAACCACGAGCTTCTATTTCTTAACTCGGAAGCCCAACAATTGTGTTAGTATCACAAATTAATTGACAGTTGTCCATGTCTTGACTATATATTATAATTCGAAATTAATCACCTTATTTTATTATAGTTAATTCAGGCCCTTACCTTGTCCATATCAGTGCTAGCATATTGGTAGAGTTTGTTGTTTGAACTGAAGATGATGAGGGCAATCTCACAATCGCACAGGACGCTCAACTCATAAGCTTTCTTCATCACTCCAAATTTTCTTTTGTTGAACGTAACCTGAAACGTAAACAATTCGTCAAATATCATTGAAGAACGCTTCGTGGAATTCAATATGCGGTTTCTACTAAATTGTAAAAACATTAAGTCATCTTTATGACCGGCCTCATTTGTGTCAACGTTATTCGATAGAAATTCACCTTTTTCGTTTTTATGGCTACTGAGGGATAAAAACAAAACACGATCGTACGTGATTGGTCACGGAGATACGAGCGTGTCTATGATTGGTCTAGGCATAACCAATTACAATCAAACGAAACGCGCTACGGCTTCGTATTTACTTATATTCATGCCTAGGTATGTCGTTTTATCTCTTAACAATAAGAGATAAGAGTACTTTAAACCTTTAGTAGAAGTAGTAGAAGGTTTTTAACCGATAGATTCGATTAAGGCACAACGCCGGTATGTATGTAACTTCCAATAGCGAAGCCAGATAACTTTTAGAAGAACTATATGGAAATTGCATACAAGAACGTCTAAATACTGGAAGCTACAGGCGCTGTTACCATACCACGCAACACAATAAGAAATTTCTCGTCCTGTATTGTTTTAAATTTCTTGTTTTTATTTATTTATTATCACCCTGAAAAACTTAACTGAGCGACTTTCGCTAATTAAATATCGGAATATCTGGCTGTAAATACAATCTTAATGCTGGCAATGTTATCATTAATTTATATATTAATTAGGTCAGGGACTGTAATATTGTGTATTTGTGTTTTATATTCAATATCCTTTACATGAAGCATTGTTTTATAATTTATTCGCTTCGTTTTCCCTTAATTGTGTTAAAGAGTGTATCGAAGACTTCGAGAAATTGAAACGCAATATGTTTTGTATTGATTATAAATTATTTCCTTCGATTTTGACTCTTAAGCAGCGTTTTTGACTCTGAGCAGTGTTGGCCTAGTGGCTTCAGCGTGCGACTCTCATACCTGAGGTTGTAGGTTCGATCCCCGGGTGTGCACCAATAGACTTTCTTTCTATGTGCGCATTTAACATTTGCTCGAACGGTGAAGGAAAACATCGTGAGGAAACCGACACGTCTTAGAACCAAAAAGTCGACGGCGTGTGTCAGGCACTGGAGGCTGATCACCTACTTGCCTATTAGGTTTAAAAGTGATCATGAAATAGATTCAGAAATCTGAGGCCAAGACATAAAGAGGTTGTAGCGCCACTGATTTATTTATTTGACTCTTAATAAGTCTTGTTGTATTTTCGGATCTATCAAAATCTTTTTGAATTCAATTGATATGATTTATTTTATCTAGTCTTGATTTGATTCCTAGAAAAATTATATTTTTAACAAGATTTCCCATATTCCACATTGTTTTAATAATATTTAATCTGCATAAAATGCGATAATATTTTCGTTATGCAAAGTAAACGATACTTGTTTATTATGCTTGGGGCGACTTTTTAAATTTTGATTAGGTAACATTCGAAATTTAAACTTCCAGTTTAAATATGTTGCCCGTTGTTACAATTAATAAATTACAGACTGCGGTCATTGTTCTCACTCCGCGATAATGTTCGCAGACTGTATGGTTGTCGGCTTAAAAACTTTTTTGATAATTTAATCAAAGTATTATTATCATATATTATTATTAAGCGTCAAAAAATCTATTAAATTAAATGTATTGCAAGTTATTATCAAAACAAATTTATGAAGTTCGATTCAAAAATCGGTACTTTTTTCTCAAATAACATCTTTTTTATTCTATTTTTTTTAATCACGAGATGTATTGTGATGTTAAACTTACTAAAATTCTAATAATTTATTAATTTGAATGACGTACGAGAAGTGAATATACGTCATTAATATATATATATATATACATATTTTATTAGAAACTTGTTTTGACAATGCTTATTTAAATCGATATTAGTACTATAACATAATAATAGTAGTATTGTTTCATTATTAAATAAAAATTTCCTGAATCCAAGATAAGTCACAAACAAATTCTCGATACAAATAGATAGAATACAATTTTTAAACTTGAATTCTACTGTAGTACCTATTTATGTGTATTAAATAAACGTTTTAACATATTAATATAAATTGTTGGCAACCCTAGCGACCAGATAGTGTCGCATCTGTTTGTTGAGTCGGAACTGAATACTTAGTTCATTTCACCCTTAACCTTGTGATAATTTGAGTTTGTGATCAAGAACTTACCCAATAGTCGTCGTGGTAACGTACAGTAGAATGGAAACCTTAAACAGGAGGAGCAAGGGGGGGATTTGAATGGCCTTGAAAAGCTCTCTTCCAGACTGCCATGATAAAATAAATGCAATGAACTGCGTAGTTACAAATCTTTAGTAAATAAAACGATATTGTGTGACGAAATCGCGTATTCTGTTACAGCCTTCGCCTGCGTTACGATTCGAATTGTAATGCGTTTGAAGCTGTGGATCAGACGATCAAGAATTAAATAATGAATATTCAAAATTATTAATATATAAAAATCAAGTATTATCTTTAAGAAAAGGTGTTCATAATGGGAATTAGTAATTCAGAGTTAAAATTAACCGATAACCTCAACTGAAGCGTTCAATATCCAAACGATGTTCTTTTGTATACCATAAAATTGTTAAGTGAGCACAATTAGCTTTTTTCTTAACTAGTCACACTCTCTAACAAAAATATATTATGTTACACACATCCTTTCAGACATCTATCAATTACATTAAATAAAGTGTATTTAAAAATCATTAAACTAATCTTAACCTAACAAATACTACGGATGAACATAAAAATCCGCCATCTTTCTTGTCTTTCAGTTGGTTCCAAGATAGGAATTGTAACGAAAAATAAATAAATAAAAATACATAATGTTTGAAAAGATGAGAGGCGTATTAGTAACTAATACGATAATATGATACCTTATTATTTATCGTTTTATAGTAAGGGTGAATTTTGTTTTATTTGTTTTAAGTTCAGCCACTAACAAGCAAAATAAAATATACAAATTCATTATTTTGCCGAGACATTGAATTTGAAATTTCTGCTTCAATCTCGCAAAAGTCATTAAATTTAACCTCATTAAAATGCCAAATGATATGTGTGTTTATCAGATTTTAAATGTCAATTTTTGATAATTTTACATAATTCAAGTATTAAGTAAAACTTTAAGTATTCTCTCGTCACGGTCGATTTATTTAACAGAAACGGTGCTACAACCCTTGGTTCTCGGCCTTAGATTTTTTTCCTTGATAATTTGAACAATAGGAATGTTGGTGATCTTGCATGCCGGCTTCTTCACGATGTTTACTATCAACGGGAAAGAAAAGAAAATAACATAGAAGAGTGCATTGGTGCACATCCGTGACCTGAACCCACAACGTCAGAGATAACCATCCCACGCTTTAAAAACTCCTGAAGTTTAATTTTATCCTATCAATCATTTAATTATGTCGTTCACAAAAATTTGCAGTTAATTTCACCAGGAAACTAAAATATATATTGTCGGTTGTGTGATAAATCTCACAATCTCGTAAATTAGATAGAGCAAAACAACTCAGAATAAGTTGCAAGTGCCACACGGCTATCAAGATATCGATAGTAGCTATCAAAAATGAAAGAATGAGCTGTCAAAATAGAGTTATTCGTGAAAGAATAAAAATTTGTTCGGCAGTTTCAGAAAGTCCTATCAACAACCTTAAACAATATTTTTATGATTTCTCCAAAGCGTTTCAGATTAAGAAGTAAAAAATACCGCTAATAAGACGAACCTGTCGATTCCGTTCATCTGTAATCCGAGATATTTGTATTTTCTTCCGGCCCATGGTGGCAGCAATCTTGGAGATGTTTTGGGGAGCGGGGGGTGAGAACAAATGGCCGGTGGGCTGCGTCTATGGTGTCAACAGCTAATATCTGTAACAAATAGGAATTTATATTAAATAGATAGGTAGGTTTTATTCATTTATAGGACATGAGACATAAATGGGTTTTTTTAATGGAAGCCATTACTATATTAAATAATACATGATATTATTTTTGAGTATTCTATGACTTTACATTCTAAAACAATAATCTTGATATAAAAATGATTCCCAAAACAAATTGCTAAGCGCAAAACTAAAAGACTGCTGGACCAATACGAGTATTTTTTATTTATTCCTTAGGGCTTAGACTCTGAGAAAGTTTTTGTATAAACAAATTTAAATATTAATTTTATTTAGTGCTTAGGTTTTTATTCCGGAAAAACGAACAGTATATGGGGTAGCATAGCAAAAGGTTCCATATGTAGGTATGTAGCTACTAAAAGGTAGGCTACATAAAATTATCATATTAAGATGAAAACGAACTTTGAAGGGTAGCAAACCTTGGTGTTTTTGAATTAAGATTAATTAATGACCTGTAGATAAGAAAACGGATTACAAGTACTATATTCTGACTAATTTAATGTTTTTTTATTTCTTTTTAAAAGTTTCGATTAACCATTTACGTTATCTCCGATCATTCGTCACCTGGTTCCGAATAATAATTAATACTGAAAATGTTCTCTTCTGAAAACCGGAATTATATTAAACTCTTTATAAACACAAGACAGCGTAATTAATACGATAATAAATCTGCGTATAATTTATTAATTAGAAAAATGAGATATGTTTCTGAACTCATAACAAAATAATTTTTTTTAATTGGCAAAATTGGGGCATATAAACGTATACATAATTAGTTATGATTATAGTAAATTACGAAATTCGGCCCAATCACTGCGCAAGAGTTGAAGCAAGTACAACCTCGGTTTAATTACATAAATACAATTAATTTAGCATTGATATTCCTGGATTTTTCGACCAAAATGTCAAATGTTGTATTTTACTCCAATAAAATTTGTTTACAATTTAATACCAATCTTTCCATTTACAATTTTGCATCGAGATACTTTTTTAAAAATGACTTGGACTGTAGTCGCTTATCCTTAAGAAATCTACTTAACACATTTGAAATATGATTGAACATATTGTTATTGTCCTTAACAAATACAACAATCTTTATTTTTAGGAAATTTCTTAAGTGAAGTGAAGTCTCCATAGATACTGAAAGCACGCAGGTGCGTTACCAGCCTTTAACACTTGACTTCTTTCGTATTTCGACAGCTGAACAGTGCAGCGTCATTATGGAATCACTTTGAGGTCGGATTGTTTTGTGGGGACTCGCTAGGGACAGGGTTTTAGGTCACTGGTTTGTAGGCAATGCGGACTTTTTAAAAGATTTTTTTTAACTTTACGATGTAATTATTATTTTATTTATATACTAAGAAACCCCCTAATGAGGCATAAAGTAGATAATATTGTATAGTGTTTCTATGCCTAATATTTTATAAGCCATGAGTAACTAGTCTAGTTAAAATATTGATTTACAAAAATTACTTAACTCAATTTATAGCCTAGTATTTTCGTTTAGTATGGACGTTTCTTTGAGCTGGTAATTTTCGTTTTATTATATAAACTGAGTTATATAATAAAACATCTATATATATATAAATATATATATATTTCTTACATTTCCATAAAATCTTAGTAAAAATAAAAATTTAAAATCGCTAATATTTGTCCAAAAGCCTGCTCACGTGTTAAATAATTTGACTGTTAACTAACAAGTGAAGTCATAGTTTCAGTTAAACACGTGCTAATTACGTGGATATTTTAATTAATAAAAAATTATTTTAATGTAGATGATAATAATATAAAAATGTATTTTTATATTAACAGTTTGAACTTTGGAAATCATGGGACCATTCCATGCCTGGTCGTCCTCCTTAAAGGCTGGAATTTCAATAATCAAAAATTCTTCTTATAGTTTATCCTATATTGCTGAATTTTTTATGAAGGTTCCTGACAGGAGTTGGGACCAAAAGTTCTTGGGTTGAAAAAAACATTAACATTTGTAACGCTAGAAAAATCCAAAGGCCAATGTTTACTAAAATAAGCTAGAAGACCTAATGTACTGGAAGTAGCAACAGAGGGAACATACTTGACCGTCCTTGCCTTCCCTTTTTTCTTATGGCTCATTACATTTTTCCTTAAAAGGATAACCGAACCACGAGCGCATGAAGTGGGCTTAATCGTGAAAAGACCTTCGCACACTAAAGGAGCAAACAATGGGTATTAATGTACTGAAATGACTCATGATTTGAAAAACAAGAACGAAAGTTCTGTAGTAAAATAGTTGCACTACCAAAAATTAAAAAGTGCGTGCGTATTAACAGAAAGGCACATGTCAGAAGTGAAACTTCTTTGGCGAACTAACTTTTAAGTCTTGTTCATATTTATACAAATATAAAGGGTGGGAAAACGGAAGATATGTTAGAAATTTAATTGTCATTAAAATATTAAGTGTCGAAAATTAATACAAATTATAAATTTATTTCTTCGATAATAATTTACAATAATTTGTCATCTGAGAATTCAATGAATTATTTTGCATAAAATATAAAATACTAATATTTCATAAGTTCTCTTTACAAAATTTTAATTTTAAAATAGAATTTCTATAAGGTAATTCTCCCTTTTTCGACAAAACCGCTGCACCTTCGTGACGTTTCATCCGTAAAAATTTTACCCTCATGCGCCTAAAAAAGTTTCACTTCAAAAACTTTGCGTTGATTTTGCTTTACAGTTCGATCTCGCCCTCGCTTACCTTCTGTTATTTTAAATGAAAATAATCTAATTATAAAGAACGCTGTTGAAACTAATTACGCGCCAAAAATAAGTCCTGCCCTGCGATTCTGTAACTCAATCAACTGTGGCGGCTTTCGTATGGGTCGCTTAAATCAGGTAATGCCAAGTCATAATATGACTTGGCTTCTGACAATGATTTGAGAGCTTGTAGTTTATTATTTATGTGTGAGTACCGCTGTGTGAGTTCGAAAAGTGAGTTACAGAATCGCAAGGCTGGAGTCTTTGACATCGTACTTAATTACGATTAATTAGACTTAGACTCCAGGACTCTCTTTATATTGTTATGGTTTTCTTTATTTATCTTGTTATGGTTTTCTTTCTTTACCTCAATGACGGTAGACAACCTTTAAGGATTTGGTGTAAGATCAGATTAGGGTATTATTTTTTGTCTTTAAGTTTCTGATTACTTAGACTGTTTTAAATATTCATTAAAATTAAACAAAGGAAGTGATTGCTGTTTTGTATTGTATAGCTTCATTGTATTGGTAATTTTAAGGATTATTCTGTCTGTAAAGAAACGGCATTAAAATCTCAATATAATAATTTAACAAAGTAATTCATATTATTATGCTGATAAAGTTGTGCTAGTGATAGCGTACTTTTGTATTAGTAATTAGCACTGTGGACCTATTTTATCAAATACAGGTTAAAAATTAACTCTAAGTAGTTTTCTTGTCAAATATTGACTTGGTAATAAAGTAACGTACCAATACGCTTCGTCTAAAAAAACATAATAATTAATATTTATGAAAATTGTTAGCAATGTTATGTACAAATTTTGTATCATTTCGTACAAAAACAGTCTTTAAACATTAGAGTTAACATTTAGAATATATTATACAATAATTAATTGTCTTTGTAACTGACGTCATTTTAAAACTAATAAAACATGGTTTTTAAATGTAAGTAAAATTATTATGCTCTGTGTATATGCATATAAATGAACACAATACGAGTACATATCATTTAATTTTTGCGATGATATTAGGAGATTTTTAATTTTAAGTTAACTTAATTAATAAATATAATTTGACACGGTTATTCAGTGGATTTATTTTAAATACAGAAAAATCAAAGATATTGGATTACTTAAAATTGATTATAATTATTGTAAACGGTCCTCAAATGGGCGATCGTTTGTCAAACGAGATATAATGAATATTTTACAGCATAATTATACGAAAGCAATATTAGCACAAGAATGACAACACGTGGTGTCGGAGATAAACAGTTAACCTTACGTTTCATAATACCACTAATAATCAAGCAATTTTAGGGCTTCTTACAATACAATAAGATGTAATATCCCACGTGACAATATCACCTTGACTTTGTAATACCTGAAATATGGTATTTGCACTGACTGATATTGTCGCGAACAAAGGTTAGGGAAATTGCCTTTTCTGCACATGACACATCTCTTGTGTGTAGAAAATTGAAATATGGAGTTTTCTACGTTTCGAATTAAACACGCGATCAAATACAACACATAATATTACACTTATTTACATTTTAATGTTGGTATATTTAAATTTATAAACATTACCTTTTTTGGGTCAAGTTGACTTTGGATAACGCGAGTACTACACATTTAAATAAAACCTCATTAAATCATATTGTGAATTTATTACAAAAAAAACTTTGTTCATGACAAAGACTTTTAATTAATTTTTTTACGCAAGAGATTTATATACTGTGCCCGGATGATATATTATTAATAACTAGAGTCTGAATTACAAAAGTTGGTTTATATGTACTAAACTATTTCTTAGGCATCACTTCGACTTCAAAAGAATATTAATTATCTTTCAAAGTAATTATCTGAGCTTTTGCTTATTAAAGGTGAAGCCTGTTTTCATAACCATTCAATCCCGTTCCAGGCTCGTGCGACCTTGCAGGAGGATGGGGAGCACCCACGCGTATAAACACCCCTACCCAATACCACCCTTTCACCGTAACATCAAAGTTCAAAATCGGTTGGCGCGTTTAATTGCATTTTGACCCTTGGACGCTGCATCAAAACTAGATCATATCACGCAGTGTACACCAAACAATCCATTAGTATTCGATTTCAATTTTACATAGATAGCTTTCAG